TTATCATATGACCCGTATTTCGGCCCTACGCGCGCTCTCACTGAAACCTTTGGAAAATGGTCACGTGATGGGGTCCGTACGCCTTTTCGCGACAGGTCCGTACAAACCCGTATTTTCCCGGCTTGAAGTTCCGCGCGCTTTTATTTATTTTTTTACATTAAAAAACGCTGTCATATGATAAAATGCTTATTGACTGAGTTAGGTCGGGCCGTACGGGAAAATATTTGGCTCTTGGTCATTTGTACGGACCTCACTGCGCTCGGTCCGTACGGCATAACCTCGAGCCAAATATTTTCCCGTACGGCCCTCCCACCCAGTCAATAAGTACATATTTTTTGCTTGATTGTGTACAGTACCAAATGCCTCCCCATTATTTTAGTTGCAAAGGAGCATTACACGTRTTCAGTGACCAACAAGCCATGTGGTGTTATACTGGTTAATATGACCATGTTATACATGTATATAGTGTATAATCCAACCAAAATCACAGTATAAATCATGTTCATTTACTTACTGCATATACATGCTTAGCTCCTGCACGTGCTGCAAACATGGACAATATTCCGGTTCCACACCCAACATCTAACACTATCTTATCTCGGAATAAGTGTTTATTATGATACATGGAATTCCTGTAAGTCATGGTCCTTACTTCGTCTTTGAGCATTTCCTGGAAATACACCCAAACAGTCAATGATCATATTCTTGACAATCAATGTACTTAAGCACACAATAAATTAAAATACATGTAACTATCCATCAACTGGTTTTCACTAATGATGCAATCTCGGGCACAGAAGCAATTGCAAATATAAAAAGCTTTGTTTTAAACTGGAAACCACAAAAAACAGTAATAAAGCAAGCACAAGTGCCGGAGCCAGATATTGAAATTTTTCCATTTTTCTGATGTTTCCTCTTTTGTTTCAAATTGCAAGTGACAACCAAACATGATGCCAAGTGCAACAATTTGCACTAGTTTCTCAACTAGTCTTTGTGTCACTAGTAAGCACCAGTTTTAAGAGTCTATTAGGCATATTTCCTCCTGAGATTTGGTCTACAGTATTGCCATGAATTTGTTATTGGCAGGCGCGTAGCAGCATAGACTTTTTGCCTAGTACCCACATGACATGGAGCGCGACACATATTATGGATTGGGGGGCTAGTGACCACCGAAGGCGTGAGTTTTAAGTAGGGTCTTGAGGTCCTCCCCAGGTAATTTTGAAATACTAGTAATAACTCTTGGAAATGCGAACTTTCTGGTGCAGCGTTTTGAGGTTCTTTTTAATAACAAAGCCTTGGTTGGAGAAAGGAAGCAAAGAAAATTATATAAAAAAATCCCGAAAATTGTTATATAATTTCCTTTCCACAAGTACATACTCCCGTGCGTGTGTAAAGGACGCYACGCATCTGCTTTGGATTTACAYATTCATCATCAACATTGTTTCTTCRCACTTGTCTCATTATTGAATGGCTTTGGGGTAATTAGGCTTAGAGGTGGTCCACCATTCACAACAGCTCACTTCTATTCATCATAGTTATCCTAATCTGAGAAGCACCCACCCACACAAAAAATGTTTTTTCCATTTTGTTMCATATTTCTAGACTTTCATCAATCCAATAGCACCACTGGACCAAATGTTTATTGTTAATTATGTAAGTACAGTAGTCTTATCAATGTGATGACATTAATATTCGCAGTATTGAGGATACTTATACCACTTAATACCATGAATCAAGGCATGGAGATTTATTATGTTAGATATGTATGATAAATCTTGGCATTCATTATAACTGTCAACTGTAATATGTATTCTATCCTAAATCCCTCATCTGTACTATGTATTCAAAATAAATGACATTAGTTTATTTACCTCATGTATTCCTTAGATGATTGAAAGCCGTACGAAAGAAACATGAAAGAAGAGAAAAATACAATAGAGAAATCAGTGACTGAAATCAAGCACAATTACTCTTACACCACTGAACATTTACAGAACAGCGACAATAATACGATTGATCTTACCAAAATGAGCATAAGAATCAAAATAGTAGTCTGCGCTTGTCATTTCTGAAGCCTTTACATTCTTCTTCTCCTGATCATTCTTAGATACGGACGTCTCGCTGGTCTGTTCGTCTTCTGTTTGATGACCGTTTACTAAGATTTTATCTTGTTCGTTTGCTGTCTTTCCTGTGTCGATATCCATGTCTGTTGTTGGCTTCCGTTAGAGAAAGGTATTAGTATAAAYTAGAAGCCGTAAATAAGCTAATTCAATCGATCTTACTTGTACTTTAGCAACTTTTGGTTTTCGTTCCATGTCCATAGCACGTGCGAGCAGATGACAATTTAGCAATACCGAGCCCACTGTTAGGTCAATCAGCGGCAGTTCTGTATATACAAAGGAAGCCCATTTCAGCCAATGTGGACCAGTGT